TTCCATTGACTTTCCTTGCCAGCCACACCAATTTATGAATTAAATGTAACTCCACTGTTCTTCAGACCTTATTACATGAAATGCTGCAGGACTGCCCCACAATACCGACATTCTTGTACAGTCCATTTTTTCAGTTATTAGAAGTTTCTTTTATACATTATTTCCTTGTAATAACTTTTCCATTTTTTCAGGCTGATGAAGGATAAGGCAGAGACACTCCCAGTGACTGAAAATTCATTTTGCTTCATAATGCGCTGAATAGCTTTGATAGTGTACCTTAAATTTCAACTGCACATGATATGTGCTGATGCTTGCATGATAGATTGACAGATGTCACAAGAGAGATTAGTAGCTTAACTCTTACCTAAAACTATGATACCAAACAAATGGAAACAGACTTCTTCGAACAATATGCATGAACTTTCAGCTAACTCATATCACATTCAAATGCTGACATGCAGAGAAAAAAATTACTTGGAAAAACTTAAGAATTCCTCAAGGGCTGGATGTTTATAAAGGCGAGATACCAGTGTGTTTGGGCAAGTACTGGGGGATGGATCACTGCTGAGATGTTGCCTTGTGACATCCCTGTCCACCACGCTCACCTTCATCGCTTAGAAATGTAAGGAGTATCCACAGAGAACCAAGGAGTGGGAGTTGCTGTTTTCTGGCAGCTAATTTAGGTGCAAACCCACATGGGGAACATCTCAGATCCAGGCTTACGTACTTCAGTTTATCCGAGACAGCAGCAGTCGTTGAGCACGTTAACTCAGAAGCCCGGTGATTGAAGACCTCTACAGTCAATGGCAATTCCATCCACTTCTCTCCGCAGGGACCTTTTGGTCTCCCCACGGTCCAGAACTAAGTCTCAAGTTAACTGGGCCCTAATTTCTCTCTGGGCCTTTCTTAGGGCACTAAATTTACAGCTAACTTGCTTGAAATTGGTTTGCCTTCCCCTCTAGCTCGTGAATATCAGTAACAGCCTTGGTGAGAGGGTGCTGAAGCACGTGCATGCACTTAATTTATGTTGTTCCTCTGACAGTGGAGCATACACTCATCAGAGGAGCTGTGTGACTACGGTGACGGCAACTGGTATTTAAAACCCAGTACCAGTAAATCACAGAGGATAAAACAAATCTGATGTATTGCTGCAGCTCAGAAGTGACATTTGACCACTGTACAATTGTTCTGACACTGAAGTTAGTAATGCAGTTTTGTGCCTTAAAGCAATCCTGTTCTCCTAAGCAGATTGTAACAATTAATTCCTGTTTGGCAAAGAATCAATAAAAACAAGAGAACCTTTAGAAAATTATTTCAGACTATAAATCTGTACAACCAAAGCGTAAGTGTTGACACAGGTGTGTCAGCAAATCCACAGGAAAACTGACACAGCAAATCCAGCTTTTAGCAATGCTGTATGAGGTCCATGGAGGAGCTAGCTGGCCTCTCATGTTCACAGTCCCACAGTTGTTCACATACAATAAAACCTGACTGTGGCTGTGCCTGATATAACTGGCATAATCTGCATCACCTGTGACACCTTTTAAAAGACCAAGAGCCAGACCTAGAAACAGAAATTGGCACCTTCCTGTTAGGTATCACAGAAGGTCCTTGGAGCGCCTGACCTTAAGAACAGACTTTGAAGATCCACATTCAGACCCGTCCGGAAGATTTCCAATAGGTGTGGCGAGAAAAGTCTCTCCAGTTCCTGCAGCTGCTCGGTTGTGCAGCAAGATCCCCATCAGCAGCACAGCCTGCGGGCACAGTAGTCTGCAGCTCGGGTAACAAAGTGAGTACTGAGTCTCGGCCCTTTCTCCCTTTCCCTGTTGTATTCTGGATTACACTAGCTTTGATAAGCTGCCAGACTAAACAGAGAGGTGCTCAGCGAGTGTAAGTACCTGCATGGTTAATGGCCTCTGAAAAAGTGGGGCTTTTTTAATTGCAGTTTGGAATTTGAGGTACCCAAACTCTGCCCAGCCCCAGGATCCCAACAAACGTCCTTCATAATATTCTACAGCCTAGAATTACAGTCTCAAAATGCTACACGTAGGAACAGACACCCTACAACCATGCTGCAAGGGCACTCACCAGGTCACATATTTGAAGCCAAAGCAGTATGCTGCTGGTTTTAACTGTGAGATGCCACGAGTACCCATCACGTCACTCCGTAATACCCGATGCATTCTCTGCCTTACACCTCTGCAGTGTGCCTGTCACAAAGCATTTCAAACACCTGCTGGGGATTTGGCATATAATTTGTGCTTTGTTCTTTTATAACTAGTATGCACACATTATTTGAAAAAAAATTTAAGAAGATACTTACTACTTGATCCTTCACACAGAAAAGACTGTCACTGTAAGTATATAACATTTTTGTATTCATACTGGGTGCTGTTTCTCATTTACCAAGCTTTCACCCTGTGGCCTGAAGGGAAACTTCTTTAAATAGCTTAAAATGAGAGGAATCAAGGTTGTATGTGTCATGGGCCTAAATACATTCTGACTAATTAAATCATACTATTTTAGGTATAATTCAAAATTCACATATATACTTTTAGAGTTTTTAAGAAAGCCTGATCAGCACTTTCAAGTACAGAATGTTTTATCTGGCATATTGAAACTTTATTCTAGCTGTGGAATAAGAACAGTGGTGGAGGTGTTAAGAGATTTGGGGGGGGACATGAAATGGTGTAAGTTTTAACAGGCTACAGCAAAACCAGAACTTGCTCAATTTAAAACACATGTAAGATGATAACTGTGAAAGCAATTCTGCATGAGCCTTGCTTGAACTCCACCTCAGTGAGACATCCTTCAGATGTATTCTGTTTAGCACATCAGCTCAGAGTTTTGACAGCAGCTCACACTCGGTGCTTGCAACACCATCAACTGAAAGAATTTTCCAGGGCACATTCTGAATCCCATTTCCCCTCTCCAGAAGTGTTGCTTCTAACACTGATGCTCCACGGACCTGCGGTTAAAGAACATGAGCAGCTGTAAAGACTCCCTTTCCCTGACAGGTGAGATGGGAAAACCCCAATCACCCCAACCACATGCCGATTTCCTCCAAAATGGGAAGCCTAATGAATATCCACACACACAGGTACATCCACTTGATGGTAATTAGGAAATATCTGCGTGCCTTTCATTGTAGGCAGACACTAGCAAATGCCATTTCAGAAGAATCTGGGCCACCAACACTTGCTGGTCCTTCAGGTAGGAGTTAGCCAAACAGGGCAGGACTATGACTTCAGTAGGACAATTAGAGAGTAAATTCATCACCCCCTTGATCTGTCCGTCCATCCCTAAAGGCTTTAGGCAGAATATGAGTTGATTCTGAGATTTTAATTGCAGGATTGGAACAAACTTCTCACGTTACTGAATAGCATATAACACATGCCATACTAAATGTGTTCAAGTGCCTTCCAAGGGTAGGTACCTAGGCAGCTTACGCTAATGCGGGTTTGCTACCACAAGAAGAGAGGACGTCTTAGTTTTTCAGTAATTTCTTTTTTCTTTAAAACAAGCATAGAAAATCACATGCTAAGAATGCCACGCAGTGCAAGACTAGGACTGCACACCTGACCACTCAGAAGGCAGGACGTGCCCAAAGTGGGATACAAAACTTGCCTGATCATGCATAAAGTTTATGACACAAGCTTCATCACTGCAATCTCAAGTTTTTTTAGCTGCAAATGTATTTAAACTTTACCTCCCACATAATACAATGTAACAAGGGGAATAGCAGATCATCTAACAAAAGGTAAAACAATAAGTAACAATTTGTATGGCTTTTTGAAAGATGTACAATATAATGTTCAAAAAGCTTTGCAGCTCAAGGCAAGAATAATTAGAAACGTTCATGGCATGCACGATGAGGAACGCCAGACTAGATTAATCATCTTTTTTGACTATAAAATACATGATTCTGCCAGAAATCAAATAGTTCCTATAAAACCATAATGTTCTGCAAAAGGCTTTGCCTGTAACACAAAATACCTTTAGTCTTTCTTCTCAACAAATGCATTCATAAATGTATGATAAAGAAAAAGAAGTTCCCATTTTGAGCTATAAAATCCTGCAAATAAACAAAAAAGATACTTAAATTCAAAGTGGTTTCCTGAAGTGGATGAAGCAAGCAAATAATTTTAAGTAAAACAGTTTTAATAATATTATTTCAGGCCTTTTGTATTACACAGAATACTGTCCTGTCTTTGATACAGATATATGCTAATATGTGCTAATGTGGCACCAGTTTAAATAGGACTAAGTCATTAATAAGGCTGCTATGGTATGCCATCTCTTAAGTACTTCTCCGAGACTGCTGTAGTGGCAGTTTTTCCAATTATGGTTCTGTTGCTTAGTGCATTTAGGCTACAATTCTGCATATCACTATTACAGTTTTGAAATACAGAAGAGATTACAGGAGATTGCACTAACGGTCTGACAAAAGCCACTGAAATGCAGAGTTAAGAATGCTGGAAGGTTCATCCAGAGAAGAAAAAACAGAGTTAGTGAACTGCGTTTCCCAGTATGCACTCTAAGTGATTTACACATGGAATATTTTATAGAATTGGTTGGTTGTCTTTTATTATTGTATACTTTATTAGGGTTATCAGCTGGCCAGTGACCATGCTATTTAAAACTAACTAAATACTGATACAAGTAAGGACAAATGGAGAAAACATGCTAAAAATGCTTATGTTTGTCTCATATGAACCCATTGTGTCATTTAATGAATTTCAGAAAGAACCCAAAGCAACTTACTATCTTGAGGGAAACAGGGTTATTCTTATCCCATGCACAAAAGAAATAAATTGGTCTGACTGCAATGAAAGATGAAAGTGATTCTCTTCACCAGTGTGACCAGAGCACAACTTCAGCTTCATGCTCTTCACTTCATTTTACTTACCATCAGTTCCTATTTCACTTTAAAGGTCAGTACAAGACGGGAAAAGACACAAGAAAAGACTGAGTATTGAAGAATACTTCTTAAATCATTAGTTGTTTGCCATTTTAATGGTGTTAGACTTTAGCAAATTTATGAGGCATAAACTAGTTAGCTTTACAACGTCCAAATATTGTTAGTCTTAGAAGACTGCTCATTCAAAGCCTGTGCTCTCCACTCAATTTACAAACTGCCCCAATTTTCTTAGGCTGATGATGTAACTGCCTTATTTGCAGTGTCTTGGTCAGGATACAAATAGAGTGGGTTCTGCGATGAATTTGCTCTCAGAGGTGGTTGCGTACTAGTCAGTCTTTCAGAATTTCCTGCAGAATTCTCTCTCCACCTCGGACTTGCCTGCTCCTGAGACACTTCCCACACAGATGGGCAGGGGGAGGTAAAATTCATGGTGGATCGTGAGAGGTAGTTCTCCTGAAGACCTTCTTCTTGGAGGCACCTGTTTGAAAGCACTTCTTTTTCTTTGGAGTTTCGCCATTTCATCCTTCGATTCTGAAACCAAATTTTCACCTGTTTGCAAGTTAACAAGAGTTTATTATCATCCTTTTCTTTAAACAACTTTACCCCGACAAGTATTTTTTTTATTTTCCATCCCCTTCATTTCATGTTTCTTCCTTATTTGTTGTTATAGTAGATGCAGTGAAGTTGACTGATTGACATTATCTGAGGATTTTCCTATCGCTATTTACTACAGTTGGGCCAAATACTCTCCTTGAATTTCACCACCTCAAACAGGTGATTATTTGGCTTAGACTGGAAAAAAGGACAGCCCAGTGACTACGGACAGAGCAATTTCCTATACCAACATTCTTCTAGACAGAAAAGGATTCTCAGAGTAAATTAGCATTGTCATTAACAAAACTAAGTGATATTACTGGTGATGTAGAGCCTTCTATTCAAACGAGGTTCTATGAACCTCTTGACAAGCACAGCTAAAATCAGCTTGGCCACATAGCTCCAAAATGTGTGTTATGACATATGATACAGTAGTGAGGATTTAAAGACATTCTGTCTGCCTGACTGCAGTTTTCCAGGAGTTGCCTAGAATCCATCTGCTTTCAAGATAAAATCTGTTTTCAAAAACACTGACAAATGCTCAGACATTTATGAAATGCTGGGAAAAGCTTGGGGAAATATACATCTAGGAACTAGTTTTACATAAGGAAATGGCAGGAGGATCAATCATTCAGACTGTGTTCTATTTTCTCTTAAATGTTTGCATTTAGTTCTAGCAGTCAGATATTTGACATGAAGGCAAAGGGGATATGCTTTCAAAGGTTTGAGAACCATTGCCTTAGATGGCAGGCACTGTTCCTCCAGCACAACTGGTCAGAAGACTGAAGAAGTAACCTTCACAGCAACTGCTCTTTCTTTCATAAGGAAAAAAAACCACCCAGAGAGATAGATATCATCTGATCTACCATCATCATGAAATTATTTTCCTGTAGTGGTAGTTGTTATCTGTGTGTTACTCCTTTTTTTTTTTTTTACTACTGTGGGCTCTCTTGAATTATCAAGAAGACACAAGAAAAAGAAAAACTCTAGGAAGTAACTGTAAGATTAGGAATTTGACTACCTATTGGAAAATTCTTAGGCAGCGCACTGGTGACTGCAATTGTGCATTTCCATTTAAAGAGTTTATCCTGTGGATATTACAGCTCTGTTCATCACACTGAGAAGCACCACACTGTGCTACTTCTTTTGTTATAGCTGCAGTGCTTGCGACGGAGTCAGAGTCATTCAGGTTGCAAGGAACCGTGACAGACCACAGGATCCAAGCTCCTGCACAAAGTGGAACCAACTGCAAAGTTGAATCAAATTGCTGAGGTTCTTGTCAAGCTCTGAAAATCTCCAAGATGATGAGAGCTCCCGTCCCCGTTCCCAAGGTTTTCTGCCCCCCCCAAAATGGCTTCTGCCATACATATCTTAAGCACTTTCACTCCTGCTGCATGCAGAGAAAGAGTACCATAGTGTCACTCTCCTTCTCAGCTGTATTCTAGAGATCTGCTTCTACTCCAGCACCTTCAGAATCCAATATGCCAGCAGCTACCATGTTCATTTTCTGCTGTTACCTGCTCTCACAAATATTTTTTTCCAGTTTCTTTCAGGTTTTGTTCTCTTCAAGCCAGACACTTTTCCTTTGTTTTCATCTACAGCTAGGTCAGGGCCCTGAGATGCCAGATTGAGCTACTGCCACTTGGCACCACCATTAACGTATTCGTTCAGTTAGAACAGCTCACTGGAGGTATTAGACCCTCAGTTAAACCCTGAAGTCCCACAGTAGTTCAACTCAGACTTATGGCAGAAATCCCATGAAATGTGAATTGGTAAGTAAAGTGGGAGCATTTTAGAAGGTCACCCTGCAAAATTTTCCCTCTAGAGTTTTTCTCAGCCAAGGATCTCTTTCCTTGTGCAGCCAAGTTTTTTTCTGTAGGGATGGTTGCCTGTCTCTTGGGACAGAATGGTTTCAGAGCAGTGTTGTTGACTGCATTGTCACTAGCTGTTCATCTGAGAGCGCAAAGGGTGCTCAGAGGAATGCAGGAGGGCTCTGCCCTCTGCTGTTTTCTGCCTGGATCACTGCCTATCAAGCAGTGGGATGCAGCATAGTTCCCTACCCCAAAAGCTCCTGAGACAGCTCTGTCACACAGCAAAATGGGAGTTGGAAGTGAAACGCAGAGTTCATGTTTCTCCCACTTTAAATGGAGCAACCAACTTTTGAATGTACACCTTCCAGAAATAAACTAGGAACCTGTTCAAGCATTCCTTGGTTAAGAGCTGCATTGATTTACTGAGATCTTTGCCCAGTGATGGAGCTCAGGGCTGCCCCCCTGCTGTTCAATCTTCCTCCTTCAATGCCATTTTAAAGATTTTTCCTCAAAAAGAAAGTCACAGATGTTCTGTTGTTCCTTACCTGAGACTCCTTTAGACCCAGGTTAATGGCCAGTTTCTTCCTGTCTGTTTTACTGATATACTTCTGCTTCTGAAACATTTTCTCCAAAGCTTTCCTCTGGTCTTCAGAAAAGACAGCTCTTCTTAATATACCTCTCCGGGCTTTGGAGTTAGACTCCTGCGTCAGAAGAGGCAGGACACTTTCCTCTCCTAATGGAAATGGATGAGAATGTCACATAATATCTAACACGTATCAGAGAAATATTAAGTGCTGTTCATTATAATGCGAGCAGACTACTGTCCCACTTTTGATTTGTTGGTGTTATAAGTGTGTCGTAATGCCTCAGTCATGTTCATTAAGGACTAAATCCTCACTTGGATCTAGAGGTGTTGTCAGTGGTCAAAAGTCTCCCCTTGACATGGCAAAAAGTAAATCAGATGAGTTCATAGAAGAACATTAACACAGGACCCATGCTACCGTAAAATTCAAATATAGTCAGGGAGAAACTTTTCCACTTTCCTTCGCATGTTATCATCACTGAGTAAACTGCAGTAAGTGTTCCTTACAAGGAGTTTATTTTCTCCTTGTGTGAAATGTAGAGCCAGATAAAAGTGGTCTGTAATACTGATTCAAAGAAAGTAAATGGGCTTTCTTTAGTTTTATTGACTAACGAAAGCTTTTAGAGTGAACTATTTCCCAGAAAATCCCTGGCCATTCACTTACTCATTCTGGAAACCACCACAATTTCTTTATTACAGGATTTGGGGAGTACTTGAACTTACTCCTTTCAGACTGTTCTCTAATCCTTTGACATCGCCTACCAAGTCCTGGGAGGGTAGTTTTCAATGAATCCAATTGCATCTCCTTGATCCCTACCTAGAGGGAACCCTACCCTGGAAGACAAAGCTAGGGGAAAAGAGCTGCAGTGGAGAAGTAGAACTGTTCACATTGTCCCTTCACTGGCCTCACAAAGAGCACAGAAAACCCATATCCAGATAAATCTCTCGCCTTCATCACACCCAGTAACGCCTACAGTCATAGCGCTTTCCCATGCTCCCTCCTCCCAGAAGGAGGCTTGGTACGCCTCCAGCACTCCTGGCTTCCCCAGACACTCACCCGGAGTCCAGTACCAGAGGCCAGTTGAACAGGGCCTGTCACCAAGCGCTGGATGTGATAATTGCATGGGGCACTTGCGCGTAGGCCAGGAAAGAGCTGCCTTTTGAATCAGAAACCTGTGCCATGGCTATATAGTCACTGACAGCTACAATCTTGCTGTGAGAGGGCAGCCACAAAGCTTTGGTGTGCACCATGCGCAAGTTAGACTCTACAGGTGCGAGCTGTCCTCCTGCTGTCCACATTCCTGCGTACATGGGACAAGACTGCCACCCCAGTTCATAGTCACAGCAGCTGCAAAGGTGTGCTGCTGTTTGATTTCCGTCAAGGATTATGTTCCTATCAAAGCCGGTGCCAAAATTCCCACATAAAGCAGATTTTCTAAAAGATTGCACACTCTTTAATGAAAACATCCATCCATTCTAGTCAGTTGTAGCAGAGTATATGCGTGTGAAAATGCATTTGTTCAACAGATAAAACGCTCTTGAAAATATGAATGAAATCCAGGTGCAGCTTTCACAAACTGTTCCTTGGGGCTACACCGCATTTCAACTTCTGTATGTTATACATACACACACTGGTATTTGTATCTTCAAACAGCCACAGAGAAACAAACATGAACTGAGGATATCCTAGAACTGCATTCCTATAATGATGAGAAACTAAAGTGCGCATGTCTTGCAAAGTTGACTAAATATTTTGTGGTGCATGTGTGACTGGTTTGATATGACATGTTACCCCTCTACCTTGCCTCCAGCTGTGATCAGTAGAGGAAGAGTATCAGAGGCTGAGCAAGTATATGATGATCCTTCCCTAAAATACACTGCCACTGTCAAACATCACTGATTTAGGGACCAACCATTGCATTCTGCTAGACAAGCCTTTTTTGTAATTTTTTTTACACTTTACAAACCCTCTTCATATTTGTCCCCCATAACAGTCTGTGGCAAAAAGCAATTATTATTCTTTAAAATGCTGTAAAGAAGTATAAATAAGTATAAATTTATCCAGATGTATTTCAATTTTCAAAATTATGTCTGAGAGCAGATACAAAAATGAATAATCTACTGGTAACTATCCTGATATTTATCAGTGTGACACAGACAGACTCCATGCAAACCAAAATAAACTACCTGCAGAACAAAAGTTAAAATGCCGCAATGGAGGTTACAGCAAAGGGCAAGCCAGGTTCATATTTCTCTGAGAAGTGCATACCCCCCTCACAACCCCCACCCCGAGCTCTCATCCTGCCCACGAAGCTGGGGGCAAACACTGTCTCTTCTTCCTCAACATGTTTTCTCTCCTTCTTGCTTGAATTTTGTGAATTTAGGTACCTTTTTCCAGGTAGCCTCTGAGCAGTTTCGGATGAATCATCAGCCATTCTCAAGTTTACTAGAAAGTGTAGTCTGACAGCAGAAGAGCTGGTACCTTCTCTCATCCCCACCGTGGGACAAGAGACACCAGCGAGGGAAGAGGTGTAACAGGGCTGGTTCTTGCCTCCTGGCCTCCATTCCACAATGGAGTTGTCAGCCAAGGACAGACGACACCAGATTATGTGACCCCTTAAAATTTGTCTTGCCTGGCTGGTTGTTAACAGCAAAGAAACAACCTCCCGCCGGAGCCCCGAGGTGCCAATTAATTCCCCTACAGGCAGCATGTAGGGTACAGTTTAACACCTGTATCAGACTAATTTAACAGGGAAGAATCTACACGCTCTAAGACACAGGATGTGACTGACTTTAAAAGATTAACCAAACAAAATGTAACGATGAGCAGAACGTTCACAGGCATTAGCAAACAGCTAATGGGACAAAACATTTGAAACTCATGTTTAGGATGATGAATATTCACCCCCAACTGACTAGCCCAGAGAATTTTTTTAAGAACACCCCATATTCCAAGGTGCATTCTGACTGTTCACATAAAACCTCATTTTTGGTTTGTGGATTAAAGGATTTTTCAGTACGTCGGGATAGGCAGTTGTTCATATATTACAACAATTCCACAAAATTAAGTAAGTCAGTTTGCAGCCTGTCACTCTGAAAGTGCATGAAAGGGTTTAGTGCTCTGCTGACATAAATGTGAAACTGTTACCAACTATTTCCTAGGTTGCTGGTTTGATTTTTGTCCTGCTTTGGGTTTTTTCCAAGTCTTTCCTTTGTATCCTAATATATAGTGATAAATGTCCTCTTAATCTGTGGAACAATCTTCATTTGCCTTCATGGCAGAGACCACCTTGAAGGAGCAAGTAAAAGCTTTAGTCATGGTTTCCATTTTTTCATTTGAATTCAATACATTCTAGTTAAATGGACAATTAATAGGTCACTTCCAAAATAGTAGTGTATCAGTCCTGGTTAATAAACAATCCCCACAGTTGATAATGGGCCTATGTATTCAGCAAGTCCCTGTATACACTCAGCTCATCCACTAAATCCCTTTTCAGGTAGACAGGGTTATATGGGAAGATGAGCTAGAATGAGTCTATAAAAGTCAGTTTCATTCACTGCTTTATTTTTCAGTCAAGTGCTTTAAATGGTGTCCAGAAAATCTCTTGGAATGTGAGACAGCAGAAAAGACTGGCACATAGAGTATTGCTTTATGGCCATACAAAAGGGCAACTGACCCTTGCCCAGGCCTTTTCAATGTGAAATGGTTCCTAAAGTTCATCTGCACAGTGAAAAATTGTGGTGAGGTCGCGTGTGGATGAGTAAAGTGAAAGTGGTGATTGGTCATGGTGCTGTCAGCCATTGTGGGAGAGCCAGGGCCATGTAAAACGCTCTGTGGGAAAGTGTCAGCCCCCTAAAGAGTTGCTCAGAAACTTGCAGCTCATTAAACTGCCAGCATTTGCTGCCTCACTTGTCAAGAATCATTCCACTTAGCAACTGCCCTTCTGAAATATTCATAAAACACACGCACATAGTCAGGAAGGGATTGAATGCAAATGTGATGAAAAAGTACATGCTAGGGCACGCATAAGCTCCAATTTTCATTTGGATTTGGCATGCGATTTCTGCTTTTTCTCTGTTTCGAAGGACGGGGAAATGTTGCTTCTGTTTGTATTCCTGAGTCATAAACACGTAAAATTATGAGTATCCCATCTTACACCACGGCACACAAGCTGTCCCATCAAGGTTGAATTTAGATTTGGATTAAATGGAAATGTGTTCCAGGTCTTAACCCTGAGCGTATAGTGTATACAGGCCAAAATTCTCTTCAACTCACTTCACCATTTTTTTTTACCTTCTAATTAAAAAAGGAAAAGCAAATTGAACTTGTGTCTGCATTTAACTGCTATAAAAAGAACAACGGTTTTATTTAAATAATGCTAGGGCTTTCTGAATCATAATTTATGCCTACTGTTAAAATGCATTAAAATGCAGCATCCATTTTAAGATCTTTCATCTTTTTTCTTATTTGCAAATGTTTATTGACACAGATCTTTACAAGAGTTACTGATTTTAAAGAATGTTTTCTAGCAAAGTGAAAACAAGGAGCTTTGCTAGGTTAGCTCTGTCTGGGTGTCTCAATGCCATTAGAAACCTCTCACAATTGCTCAGTGTACTTAAGTTTGATAAATCTTTGGAAACCCTCTGAATAGGATTGCTGTGATTTTACTAAGGAATTAGCTGCTGCCATTGCATCACCAATTAGTTTTCCAGAACACATTAAATCCTGCTGCTTTGGTTTACAGAATAACTCAAGCATTACTGATGAAGCATAAAAACTTACTTGGAAAAGCAGTGGGGGATGCAGGGTGCTGACAGGACCCACCGCAGCATGCTGAGTAGAATGGCGGGGCTCGGAGAAAAAAGGGTTTGGAAAGAGCTGCAAAGAAAGCAGAGATCTAATTGATTATCCATTGAGCTTAGGTGATATTCATAACAACAGTCCTCCAGAAAGTCAGGGTGTAAAGTCCTGCCCCACGAGTCCTTTTTCCTTTTTTCAAGACGGTGATATTTTTAAGGCAAACAATGATAAACCAAGTAATTGCTCTTTAATTTAGCAAGGTTATTTTACATGTGCAGCTTAACTATAATATACAAAACTCTCAATATATTTATGAAAAAAATGAAACACTGCAGATTTGAAATTTACTTCTGTAATTGCTATAATTAGAAGGTTTTTTCCTAAATATTGAGATTGCACATATTGTTCAACTGTCGAAATAAGTAGAACACATCTGAAAAAGTTATTTTAAATAACTCTAGTGAACATGATATTCTAGAAAAACAGAATATAGAAGTGAGTCATGCATCTGCTGCTTGTAATCCAATGCTGTTACTAGTACTCAAGCCAATAAGGACTTCAATAAATAAGAAACTTCTATGAATAAACTCTATAAAATGCAATGAGACAACCCAGCTGAGCTCTACATTTTCTACCTTAGAAAGGTCTTCATTATCTAATAATTCCTGAATTATTTTCTATCAAGCTCATGGGCTTTTCCATTTATCTTAATTACCTTTTAATTTGTGCTCACACTATTTAACTATGAAAGTTAGCATATATTTTTCTTTTGAAAATAAATACATCATGCTTGCTAGAACTGTGTGCCTGCAAAATGTGATCAGGATGAAAACATTGATGTCACTTTCCTGTTTTGGTTTAGGTAGAAAACAAACAGCTCTATACCCTGCACTGTAGTTTGTCCAAATCTCTAGAAATAACCTGATTAATTTTAAAAAAGTAATTGTATACTCAGATTTAAAAAAAAAAAAAAAAATCAATAATCAGTAAGAAAGATAGATAAATAGACAAACTATCTAAGCCATGTTGTTAATGTTTAAAGTTTTTTCAACTGAATTAAAAACAATGATTACCCAAAATTAGGTTCCCAAGTACATTTTATAGTATCATAGTAAGTTTTCTGACCGACAAATCTGCTGATCTTCCAAAGCAATAAACTATTGCTGTTGAAGCCTAACTCTAAACATTTTTAAAATATTTTCCTCTTTTTTTTTCTGAATTCACACAAGCTTACGCGAAAATTGCTAAATGTTTTGTGACTACAGCTTTTCATCAACACTTCATTGTTTCTAATGAAATATAAATATACTACAAGAGGAACTAATGGCCTACATTTGAGGTATATACTTGCAAAGCATTTACAAAAAGGAATGATTTACATCAGACATTAGTATTTTAAAACTTCTTTTCCACATGAGATCATCAAATATGAAACTGTGTCCTAAGGAGCTTAAAAGAGTCAAAAACGTGCAGCCAAACATTACCTATCAGATGTATCCAAGGAGCTTCAATGCAACTGGTGGGGTGTATAAATCAGGAAGGATTTGACTCACTGAAGAAGCACAGAAGGAGGAGAATGTACAGACCTGCCAGATAATCTCAGCCATCCTCCTGAACATGAGAAGGTGTTCTTGACAATATCTTTTATCTGCTGCTAATGTTTTATCTGCTGCAATTCCCAAACTCCCAGGTGAGGAGCATTTCCTCCCTTCCTTGGCAGCAACATTCCTCATGCCATTATGAAGTTTCTCTTACAGTCAAGTAAAACTTTGCACTTGTAAAAATACAGTAACAGAAAATTTAGCATACAGAAGGTGCCACACCCAACTCCTTGCTTCCTCTTCACATCTCAAATGTTCCTTGGCTGCCATAATGCCCTGTTCCCTTCAGTCATTGCTCCAGCACCTTACTCATGCAATATGATTTTTGTCAGACATGTTGGTTTGTCCTTGATATTGCCTGTTCCTGGTTTTTAACTCTCTCCAATTCCTTGCTCCTTTTTTGATAATGTGGTGCTCATAATATGTGATACAGCCAGGAGATGCCCAGATAAACCAGAATTGAGTAAGCTGTTACTTCAGTTAGATAGCATGCACCTGCAAATGAAAGTAGAGGAATAGAAAAGGATACATTTTCTCCATTGACTAAATTTCTCAACAAGCTGCAAGCAGAAAGGTCAGGAGACAGACCAAGGGTCAAGACTTGAGACATTTTGCTTAAGGACACTCCAAACAAGCAACATATTTTCATGGATATTGCTGGCAATGATTTAACACACTAGCACAGCACCATGATGCAAACCGTAGAGATCCTGGCTCTACTTCGGCTCGAGTCGATGGATATGATGCTTCTGCCTTTCTTGGGCATTTTACTTCAACACTCAACCAACTGCTGTCTTTTCTGCCTGCATGGAGCATATTCCTTTGCAGCAGAACCTTTACTTAAGAAATAAGATACAGGCGATCTCCTCATATAACCGAACCAAGTGGTTCCTGAGACCATTTTTCAAGACTGATTCGTTCTAGATCCTGTGGAATAAACAACGGCATTATGTCTCCCTAAGCCTATAGCCAATGTTGATGTCTAGTTTCTAAACTTTAACGTGCTCCAACTACAATGACGCACAAGCAAATTCCACGTTAAGTATATCCAACCACACCCACAGGTTACGTCTACTGAAGCTGTTGCACTCAAACCAGTGTGTAACAGTCACATCAGTAAAAAAAAAATCTGGCATAATACAGGGATACTCAACTCTATCTTGGGAGTTCTGTACAGAGAAAAATGTTAATGCTTCAACCTAACACATCCAAGTATATTTTTTATCTTTGATAGAAACAACAGAGAATATTCATCACATTAAATACCTTCTACTGTCTGCTTGAAACGGCATTAACAGAATGAAAACTGCTCAGAGAAGAATGATATATTTACTGCATATGTATTTCAGAATTATACAGTGATTGTACCTGTAGGAATGGCACGATACCTATCCATGCTGAGGACAACATGCAAAAAGCATTGCCTATGCTTTTATTTTCTGTTCACATGTATCATTGCTGCTCTAGCAATATTTGTTGTCAAGCGATCTGAAGCAAATGTTTGCTGTTCACATAAGGCTGAAAACAGCTGAAATGTCAGAATATTAGTTCTGTATTTACTGGCCAGAATGAAGTACACAATAATAAGAAGGAAGGTGTTGCTTTCCGCCGCATGGGGTGCACATTAACCAGGGGCCAAATCCTAATAATTTGTATGCAAGATACTTAATTCTTTTTCGCTCTGCATTCCCATTTCATAAAAACAGAGATTCTGTGAGACTAAGTGTTCCACAAGAGTCACACTTCACAGGTTTAGCTCCACAGATGCATGAAAATGAAATAACAGAGTATGGTATAAGTGCCTTTTGGCACTCAAAAAGTTGTACTATATGCTTTTAAAGAAAAGTTATTGGGTCATAAGTACAAATGGATGAAATATTAGATATTATTTTTTATTTTTCCCAAAACAGAAATTCCTTTGACACTCTTGCTGCATGCAAAATTTCAGCAATAATACTCATTTACATTCAGCTTTGTGAATAAAACACATTGTACAAACAGACAATAAAGTGATGCTAAACATGCAAATGGACCTCAAGCTCATCTAGTGCTAAAACTCAGAGATTAGTTCAGATACTGATATTTTAAAATATACTGCCAGCTCTGAAGGTATTCTAAATTCAAAAGCCCTCCCGTACTAAAAAGTTATACTGACAGGGGGACCAGAAATTCTCCTTCCAACTATCCACCATTTTGAGAGTAAGGTTCCTAAGTACAAATCAGTTTAAATGGATATGTAATTTTAAAATGGCTTATTATTAAACGCACTGTTTGTTTTTCCTAATCCTCATGTTGTGAAATGATTCAGGAAATAGTGTAAGCCATTAGCCAGCAGGAAAGGGAGAAGGCATTAAGGAAAAATGGCTATTGAGGAAAAGTGAACTGATGGTAAACTTCTGGTATTACCCATGCAGGGCTCCTTCACTGCACATGCTGATAGTTTGTTGGGGTTTTTTAAACCAACTGATAGAAATGTGGTATAAACCTGTGAAGGGAGCTGAAACACCTCCAGAAAATGATTCAGAAAGCAGCCTAGAGCCAGCCAACAAGAAATGAGCACAGAAACAGCCGGACCTCAAGTTGCGTGAACACCTTAATTCTCCAAGTGTTGCTAAGACCACATGAACTGCTTTCCACAGTGATGACCAGGCTCCAGCTCTGGCAGGCAAATTAAAAATATTATCAGTCAAATGATCCCATTTCATTTGAGAATCCTGGACAGTTTGTGCCCATGAAGTGGGCATAAGCAGACTGCAATTTCCTAACTCTTTCCATTCTTGGCAATGACTAAGGCAGGCTTTGCAAAGCTGCAGGAAAAGTTTCATGTCATGAAGAGCTCCCTGCAAATAGTTCAGCAATGTGTCTGCCAGGTTAGTGGTCCAGCTGAGCCACATGGCACCATTTCTGCTCCTGAACCACAAGCCTGGGGCCTCACAATGAGCCAGGACTCTGTCTCCAGCAGTTACTGTCTTTAGAGTGCAATGTTCCAGCAGCAGTTTTGCACCTAGCCAGCTGAAGGTGAGCTCCTGGCTGTGAGGAGGAAGCAACTGCCGCTGCCATACCCCACCAAAGGCAGTCACCACCACACGGACCTGACAAAACTTACTGCGAGAGCCTGTGGTAAAGCATCCCTCAGAGCTGGCTCTCCTGCACTCAAAGCATCACTGTCTGTTTGCTTCCTGTTCATCCCTGTAAAACACAACTGCATGGACACTCAAAGGACGTCAAGCCAAAAGGGCAGACCAGAGAGGTATACACAGATCGGGTTTAAAATATTGGCAAACGTTCATAGGACGGGTTTTGACGTTCACATAGAATCACTGAGGTTGGAAAAGAACTATAAGATCATCTAGTCCAACCATCAATCATCTAGTCCAACCATCCAACCAGTTCTAAATATATGTTTTTAAATCCTACACGAAAGGCAGATGCGAGAAGCGGGCTTCCATTTTTATACTGGGTCTCGGTGGGGCT